AATAAAACACAGGTAAACATCTTTCTGGTATTCTCTGCTTTCAGCCAAGATCCATTTGACATCAGCCATGATATCCCTCATTCCACATCCTCTTCTGAATCCAGATTAAATTTCTGGCAGTTACCTGTCCATATGTTGCTGCAATCGCTTTTGAATGATCTTCAGCAATTTTTTTCTTGTGTGTGATATTAATGATATTGTTTGAATTTCTGCATTCTGTTGGATCACCTTTCTTTGGAATGGGCACAAATATGGATTTCTTCCAGTAGGTTGACCAGGTAGCTGTCTTCCAAATTTCTCAGTATGCATGAGTGAGCACTTCCAGCACTGCATCCATTTGTTGAAATATCTCAGTTGGTAGTCTGTCAGTTCCTGGAGCCTTGTTTTTTTGCCAGTGCCTTCAATGCAGCTTCTACTTCTTCCTTCAGTACCAGTCGTTCTTGATCATATGCTACCACCTGAAATGGTGGAACATCGGCCAACTCTTTTTGGTACAGTGATTCTCATCTGCTTTTGATGCTTACTGCATTGTTCAATATTTTGCGCCTAGAATCCTCCAATATTGCAACTCAGACTTGAATTTTTTCTTCAGTTCTTTCAGCTTGAGAAATGCTCAGAGTGTTCTTCCCTTTTGGTTTTCTAATTCCAGGTCTTTGCACATTTCACTATAACACTTTACTTTGTCTTCTGGAGCTACCTTTTGAAATCTTTTGTTCAGCTCTTTTACTTCATCATTTCTCCATTTGCTTTAGCTATTCTCCATTCAAGAGTAAGTTTTAGAGTCTCTTCTGACATCTATTTTGATTTTTCCTTTCTTTCCTGTCTTTTTAACAACCTTTTGCTTTCTTCATGTATGATGTCCTTGATGTCATCCCTACAGCTTGCCTGATCTTCGGCCACAAGTGTACAATGCATCAAATCTATTCTTGAGATGATCTATAAATTCAGGTGAGATATACTCAAGGTCCTCCTAGTCTGTCTTAGACTGGAAGCTCCGCTGAACCCTGTCCACCATGGGTGACCCTGCTGGTATTTGAAATACCTATGGCATAGTTTCCAGTATCACAGCAACAGGAAAGCCACCAGAGTATAACAAATTGACAGATAAGTGGTGGACAAGTCTACATAAAACTCATATAATATGGGGAGAAATTTCTCACTATCACTGAAATATTAATTTTTTCTCATTTCTTTATTACAATGAAAGAGGAACTTAATTTTTTATATGCTGATTAGCATGACGGCTATCTCTCAATTAGAAACAAGATTATACAAAAGTAAAAACTGTGGAGGTGGAAGGCTTGGGAAAGGGAGGAGTACGATGTTTTTGGCCATTTATGGGAAAATAATTTTCAGTTCAAATGGTCAGTTGGTTTTAAACCAAGAAATAATCGAACACAAAAAAAATCTTAC